TTTTTTATTTATTCTTTTTTTTCTCTTTCCCCTTTGATTCGTCGATGGCGCATGAAATTTTTTTCTATTCCATTCCGTGTATGCATGGAAAAGGAAAAAGGAGAAAGAAAAGAGATAAAAAAAAAAATTATTATCATGCACACAGTGTGCTATTTTTTTTGTAAATAGTGGCGGATGCGTTTCTGCGTGAGAAAAATGGATTTATTTGTTTGTAAAATAAAACTAATTTACACGAAAAAAACATTCACATTTTCGTTTTCATCCAAATGTAACTTTACACTCTTTCTCTTTACTCTTTTTCTCTTCCCCCTCCCCCCCTTAATATTGCGAACTTTTTGTTTTCATAGAAAGAAAAATAAAATAGAGAAATGTAGTACGATATTTGAACTTTATTTGATCATATATTACGATTATATATTGATATCTTATATACATATAATATTTTACGATTAGAAAGAAGAATATATGTGCAAATATATTAATTAGAATTCGAGAATATTAATCATTGTATTTTTTTCTTAACAGTATATATGATTTTTTTGGTGAATGTTAAAAAATTATAATCTTTATTCATTTTTTTTCTTCATTATTATTTAAATACAAATATTTTTCTTATTAATTTTGAATCATTTTAACATAACAATTTTAATATTAATATTTTAAAGGAATATTTTTATATAAATTTGGTATACACGTTTTTTTTTTAATAATTTAATTTATCTAATCGAAATATAAAATTTTGAAAACGAAATTAGGGAAAACGAGGAAATTATCGTGTCAATATTCGTAAGCAATTAGTTTATTATGTTTCATTGCCCATATGTTTCCTTCTGTTCAATTCTGTTAAGAATTACACGTATACTCATAAAAGACGAACAAATGCATTGTTGTGTTACATAATAATACGTAATGTCGTTATTTTCAGTAATTATAGTTACTAAACTATCGTTAACTCTGAATTGACCGTACACATTTGTAATGTTTTTCCTTTTTTACATTTGAAAGGATCGTTTAAATTTTTTTTAAATTTTCATTGTTAACAAAACAACGGCATATTGTTATGGAAATATCCAATGATTCGAATAAAATTACAAACATCCATTCGATTTTGATATATACAAATATTTCTAATTTATTATTAACAATTTAATTCCTTTTTTTTTTAATTTTTGTTCAAAATACAACACAATCGACAATTTAAATTTTTGCAAATTGAATATACGTATTTTTATCAGAGATATAATAATAAAGATGATGTTTTAAAAAATTGTTTTAAAAGAGAAAAGAATGTTGCCCTAAAAATAGCTTGGAACGAAGTAATTGAAATAGGATTATGGTTGAAATTAGAATTACAGTTGCTTATATCCATTCGTGTGATTTATGAATGATCAATAACAATCGTGCTAATATCGTAACGTTGCGGTTGTCATTGATACCGGATGCTAAATCTTGACTTTTCGTGGTCTATATTGGGATTATGATTGAATATCAGGATACCAGTGGTTCTCAAAGGAATCCGAGGATCAGACAATTCAATTTACCTTGATTTAAGATTCATGATCATAAGTTAATTCCGAGATGAGATCTTGGTTCGTCGTGTCCAAAGAAGAACATTAGAAGTTTTTTAACGTTTCACCGGCATTGCAGTTCTTTTTTAACGAATGTGAAAATTCTGGCATTCGTCCTGATATCATGCGATGAAAAATTATCCGCAATGCCGAAGAAACTCAAAAAAGAGGAAAAAAGACAAAAGTTAATATCAATTATACAAATATTTAAATATTAAATTTTAATAATTTACACTATTTGTTTATATTTTAATAATTTTTTCTTAACATCGTCTCATCGTTTCTTAAATAATTTCGTTCTTTTAAAATTAATCTACTCGAACATATATATATATATATTTATACGCTACGATAAAAAATATCAAAGTATTCAATTTTCTTCTCATATTTTTTACGACAAATAAAAAAACATTCTTCACTTCTTATAAATATCTTCAATTGCGAGAGATATTTTCAGATCGATTTTCCCATCGAAAAAAGACAAATTCCTTGCAGAGCAAATAGCAAAAATAAATTTCCTTTCTCGGAGAATTACCTGTAAAAATGAAACGTAGGATGAAATATCAGGCACGTTTATTAAAGCTCTGTTATTGGCACTTGTTCGAACGATCGCAAATTGCTTGATACATTCTTATATAGCGGACAAATTTACACCGTTTAATGTTGCAATCGTGGTCGATCCGAGAATGTGAACATACATACATATATATATATATATATATATATATGTATACACATGTACACGGAGCACAAACATTGTGGCACAGCTTCAAATTGATGGCGCCAGTGTATTAGAGCGGGTATAATGATGACTGCGCGGTGCTGGACGATAAATTTTAGAAAATCCTCGAAATAGAATGGCGGCCGAGAGGAGTGGCTCTGTGTGAAAAAGGCAACGGCACGACCTTGGCTCATCTATAGATTGTTGCTGCGTCTAAATTCGTACCACTCCCGGTGTGCACGAACAATTATAATGTTACCGCAACGATACATCGTCCAACGATGCTCTAAAAGCGCAAAGAAGCATTACAGCGTTGGGCAAGTTGCTCTTCGTGTCACGAAGAAATGATTATCGTTGCGTCAAACTCGTTAACTCGTGCGCTTTTTAAGATACAAAACAATAGAGAGTGGAATCTCGAATCGAATTCTAAATTATGCTGGTTATTCACGATGATTTCAGTTTAGAGAGAGACGGTTATTCTTATCCTTGAACGAGATTAATCCTTGAGAAAATTGGTTCCTCGATCGATAGTTTCTCTATGGAAATAGAGTTCGTCGAAGGAGTGTTATTCGAGGAGAAATTTATCGAATTGGTATCCAATTCCCGGAAAGGGAACAGTAGTAAGAAATGGTTCTGTTCAAGCAAACGTTTGTATGCAAGTAAGTACGACTATTTATAGAGCAATTTCGAGATAAACGTTCGTTTCTAAAAATATTTCGAATATCGATATTCTAAAAGTATTGAATCTCGAAAATAAATATAGACCTTCGTCTTTTTATGACACGATAAGATGGATCGAGTTAAAATTAAATCGATCTCAAGATCTTTTCTCATTTCCCCAGCGACTCGCTATCTTTCAGTTAGAATAAATAAAGGTGCGTGGAATTCCAAACTTGTGGCGACACGCAATTGAGAAATAAAAATTTTAGAAAACGCGTTAAGAAGGCGAGTAAATAATCAAAGCGTCGTATTTTCTCTCCGTTACCGCTGCCGTTTCATTACGCTGACTCTGTTATAAAACGTTCGCGGATCGCACAGTGTGTCATTGCGTGGAAAGCGAGAGTATCGGGTTTCAACACGAGAAGCGTAATGTTGTACGACGCGTTGCGGAGCCAGGTAGATGGCTCGAGGAGCGGAAACTTGGGACGTCCGACTAATAATTTATCGCGACACGTATATTTTACTCTCCAACGAGGAACACGTGAGCATTACGTCCGTTGATTTAATTCGATAACGAGCGGTCATCTCGATTTCCGCGACGATCGTGAAATCAAAAACGGAAATCGGTCGAAGAGGAATCGAAGGGATTGGAAGGTTTGTGCCGGTTGTTATCTGTTTGATGGGCGTCAGATGGCTCTCCCCACTTCTCCACTTCGGTGTTATCACGCGAATTTGCATTATCTTCGGTTTTTTTACATAATATTTGTATACGATGATTCACATTCGTGCATCTTCAGTTAAATCGTGTCGAACGAAGGAGAAGAAAATTGCGAGTGTGG